TCTGTTCTGTTCTCTCTGTTTCACTTGTTATTCCCTTCTACTTGCTTTATGTTTAGTTTGCTCTTCTTTCTCTAGTTTCTTAAGGTGTAAGGTGGGTTTTGATTTGAGATCGTAACTCTTTTTATTTTATTTTATTATTTATTTTTGAGAGGGAAAGACAGGGAGAGAATGAGCATGAGTGGGGGAGGGGCAGAGAGAGAGGGGGACAGAGGATCTGAAGCAGGCTCTGTGCTGACAGCAGCCAGCCATTGTGGGGCTCAGACTCACAAACTGTGAGATCATGACCTGAGCCAAAGTCAGCTACTCAACCAACTAAGCCACCCAGGCACTCCAAGACCTTATCTCTTTTTAATGTAGGCACGATAGCTATAAGTCATAGCTTCATCCCATAAATTTTGATTTGATGTTTTCATTTTTATTCATCTCAAAGTATTCCTAGTTTCACTTGTGCTTTTTTGTTTAACCCATTGGTTATTTGGGAGTTTATTGTTTAATTCACATATATTTTTTAATTTATTTATTTTGAGAGAGAGAGAGAGAGAGAGAGAGAGAGAGCAAACACTGAAGCAGGGTGAGGGGCAGAGAGAGAAAACCCCAAGTAGAGAGGAAGAGAGAGAGCAAGCAAACACCGAAGCAGGGTGAGGGGCAGAGAGAGAACCCCAAGTAGACTCCACAGTCAGCTCAGAGCCCAGTGTGGGGTTTGAACTCACCAACCCATGAGATCATGACCTGAGTGGAAATCAAGAGATGGATGCTTAACCAACTGAGCCACCCATGCACCCCCTAATACACATGTGTTTTACTTTCCCAAATTTCCTTCTACTATAGATTTCTAACTCCCATAGTGGTTGAAGAACATGCTTTATATGATTTCATTTCTCTTAAATATATTGAGGCTTTTTTTATGGACTGACATACATTCTGTCCTAGAGAAGAGAATGCATATATCCTTCTATGTGTATCCTGCTATTGTGGGATGGAGTGTCTTATATGTCTATTAGGTCTAATTAGTCTATAGTATTGTTCAGGATTTCTTTTTCCTTGCTGATCTTCTATTTAGTTGTGCTATACATTATTGAAAGTGGTATATTGAAGCCTCCAACTACCATTGTTGAATTATCTATTTTTCCTTTTAATTCTGTCAGATTTTGCTTCATGTGTTCTGGGGTTCTTTTTTAAATGCATATATGTTAATAATTAAGTCTTTAAAACATATTGGCTCTTTAATTATTATAAAATGGTTTTTTTTTTTTTGGTCTCTAATGACAGTTTTTGTTAAAGTCTATATTGTTTAATATCAATATAGCCATACCAGCTCTCTTGGGTACCATTTTCATTGAGTATATTTCCTATCCTTTTACTGTCAATATATTTATGTCTTTGAATCTAAAGTATGTATCTTGTAGACCACATATAATTGGATAATGTTTATTTGTTATCCATCTTTCCATCTCTGCCTTTTGATTAGAATGTTTCATTCATTTACATTTACTGTAATTACCAATAAGTTAGGATGTACATCTGCCATTTTGCTGTTTGTTTCATATCTGTCTTATATCTTCTTTGTCCCTCTTTTCCTCCATTTATCCCTTGTTTTATGTTAAATAAATATTTTTAGTGTGCCATTTTAATTCTTCATTGTTTCTTTTAGTATATTTTTAAAGTTATTTTCTTAGTGATTGCCCTGGGAATTACAATTAACATCTTAAAACTATCTACCAATTTCATTTTATAGTATACAAAACCTTGCTCCAATAAAACTCCAGTTCTTTCCCCTTTTTGTGCTGTTACTGTCATATAAATTACATATTTATATATTATAATCTCATCAACATAGTTTTATAAATATTGCTTTATGCAGTTGCCTTGTAAATCAAAAAGGAAAAGAGTAAATGAATTTACATATATACTATCTTCTATATTTACCTATATAGTCACCTTTCCTAGTGTTTTATATTTCTTTATATCAATTAAGTTACTTTTATTTAAGTCTGAGAGACTCCCATTAGTATTTCTTATAGGGCAGGTCTACTAATAAATTCTCACAGTTTTGGGGTTTTATTTTTTACTCTTAAGAATTTTTTTTTACATTACATTTTTCTTTACATTAAGAATGTCTTAATTTTGTCTTCATTTTTGAATGATAGTCTCGCTATCATTAGCGAGATATTCATGTTCATGTTATTTCAGTACTTTGAATATGTAATTCTAATACCTTCTGGCCTCAGGGCGCCTGGGTGGCGCAGTCGGTTAAGCGTCCGACTTCAGCCAGGTCACGATCTCGCGGTCTGTGAGTTCGAGCCCCGCGTCGGGCTCTGGGCTGATGGCTCAGAGCCTGGAGCCTGTTTCCGATTCTGTGTCTCCCTCTCTCTCTGCCCCTCCCCCGTTTATGCTCTGTCTCTCTCTGTCCCAAAAATAAAAATAAAACGTTGAAAAAAAAAATCTAATACCTTCTGGCCTCCATAATATCTGCTGGTAAGTTACCTATTATTGAAAATCATTTGCACATGATAAATTATTTTTCTCTTGTTGCTTTCAAGATTCTCTCTTTGTTTTTGGCATTTGGCAGTTTCACTATGATATGTCTGTATGTAGATTTTTTTGGTCTTATCCTATCTGGAGTTCATTGAGCTGTTTGGATGTGTAATTGGAGTTTTTTCATCAAATTTGGGTTAACCAATATTCCTTCAAAAAGTTCTTCAACATCTCCTCCTCTTTTTCTCTCCTGTTTTTCTGATTCTCCTATTATTTGTATGTTTTTACAATTGGTGGTGTCCCACAGGTCTCATGCTTTGTTTGTTTTTCTCCATTTTTTTCTTTCTGTTCCTCTGAACAATCTCAGTTGACCTATCTTTTAAATTTCCTGATTCTTTCTTCTGTCAGTTCAAATCTGCTGTTGAGCTTCTCTAGCAAAATTTACATTTTAGGTATGGTACTATTAAACTCTAAAATTTCTATTTAATGCTTTTTAAATAATTTATATCTATTTTATTGATATTCTCTATTTGGTGAGATATTGTCCTTGTACTTTCCTTTAATTCTTTGGCATGGTTTCCTTTAGTTCTTTGAGGGTATTTATAACAGCTGATTTAAAGTCTTTTCCTAGTAAGTCCAGTATTTGAGCTACCTCAGGTAAAGTTTCTCTTGACTTCTTTTTCCTGTGTATGGGTCATACTTTCATGTTTAATTTCACATCTTATAATTTTTTTGTTGAAAACTGGAAAATGTAAATAACATGGCAACTCTGGAAATCAGATCTCACCCCACCCCACATCCCAGGATTTGTTGTTGTTGCTTTTTTTTGTTTTGTTGTTGTTATTGATATTTGTTTACTTGCTTGTTTAGTGACTTTCCTGGACTAATTCTTTAATGTCTGTATTCTTTGTTGTGTGAAGCCACTGAGGTCTTCATTCAGTTAGCTTAGTGGTCAGCTAACACCTGGACAGAGATTTCCTTAAGTGCCTTAACCCAATAAGTCTTTGATACTTTGCTAAGTGTCTGTATGCATGTATTGGGTCTCACCTTCAGTGCTCCAGCAGTTTACATTATTGCCTTAGCCTTCACTTCCTACTTCTCATAGAGCCACAAAGTCAGCCAGGGTGAGAGATTAGGTTTCTTCGGTCTTTCCTTGGAATATGTACAGCCCTAACATGTGTGTGGACTTCCAGATTCCCACGTATATGTCAGAGATTTTCAAAGTCCCTATACATACATATATATAGATAGATATATCTATATATAAATATAGATATAGATATAGATATAGATATAGATATAGATATAGATATAGATATATCTCATTCCCCAGATTTTCTTTTAACTCTTCTGGCAATTTTCTTACATGTTCTGATATGGCCTCTTCATGCAACTAGGATGTTAAATCCTTATGGCTGATTTTTTTCCCCAATAAATGCCCCCAAGTAAAAGGCTCTTCTCATTGAGTAAGCTCTGAACCAGATCGAATAAGCTCTCTGAATGGGAATTTCCTAGGTTGCTGCCAGACAGATAGAAAAGTTAATAATTTTCTGAGGATGGCACTTTTGAGGGAGCTCCAAAACCATTTTGTCCCTTCTAGTGAATGCTAAGCTGCTGGTTTTCACTACTACTGTAGTTCTGCAGTTGCTTGTTTTCAAGGATACCGTGGAGGTAGGAAGAAGAAGGGGATAGGAATAGGGCAAATTAAAATGCAATGAAGTCCACTGTTCCTACTAAGATTCAACCCATTTTTCTTGAATAGCACTCCTTGGATTGTTGTAACTCCTTGCTTAACCTGTCTTTGCCCGTATTCTCATTGCTTTCATATAGGAGCACATTTTTGGAGGTCTTCATTCTGCCATTCCTAAAGTGCTTCTCCTGTCAATGTGTTCTTTTTTTTTTTCTTCTTTTTTTTTTTTTAATTTTTTTTTTCAACGTTTATTTATTTTTGGGACAGAGACAGAGCATGAACGGGGGAGGGGCAGAGAGAGAGAGAGGGAGACACAGAATCAGAAACAGGCTCCAGGCTCTGAGCCATCAGCCATCAGCCCAAAGCCTGATGCGGGGCCCGAACTCCCGGACCGCGAGATCGTGACCCGGTCGAAGTCAGACGCTTAACCGACTGCGCCACCCAGGCGCCCCCTGTCAATGTGTTCTTAACATCCATGAAAGCAGATTCTTAGCATCAAGTGCCCAAGGACCAGGACTCAAAGAATGAGACCCACAGACCCAGTTGGATACCGGTTCTGATGGGCTGTAACTTTCCCTATGCTTTGGGATTTAGGTACTAGGCTCAGTGGGTACAGAGCTGCATCTGTTCTACCCAGTTTGGGTCTTCTCCCATCTAGCCTACATCTGACTCTCATGCAGTCCTCTAAAAGAGAAGTAACTCACAAAGGGAATCGGAATCTGACCCACTGATTCCACCCATTCTTATGGTCTAGAGGTCAGGAAAGCCCTGTTGAGGAAATGCATGCTGTAGTAGTAGTGGTGGTATCTCACATCAGATTTTCCTCCTGGATCAGGAATTCCTGCTGAAGATTTTCTGTGTGTTCCGGAACCTGATGAAGATGAGTGTCTTCCCTCGGGACTGGATGGTGATGAGACTTCTCACAAGCAAGTGAGTGTGGAAACACCAGCATCAACAGAGCTATTCTCAGACTAAGGAGAGAGAGTGTGTGTGAGAGGCAGAGAGAAAGCAAGACAGATGATTGCCAAGGCCTTGGGGACAGAGAGAATAGGGTAAATGTGAAAAATGTTTGGAGGCACAATCAACAGGACTTGACTGTTTACCATAAATTCAAGAAGAAAGCATTGAAGAGAGTTCAAAATGGAGTCTTAAGTGCCTGCAGATGATCCCATGGTTCATATAGAAAAGGAATACAAAGGATGTGAAATAATAATACCCAGAGAAGGTTCCTCCTTGAGAAAGACCTGTTTCATGGACCACTGGCCTTTGTTGCTCTCTAGTTGCAAGCAGTATCCCAAGCCCTCCTCTTCATTTGATTTGTGTTGTCTGCCAGATATTGCTTGCCTCCCACAGCTAATGCTCATTACGCACCCGAGACCTGGCTGTAAGGCTTTGACCACTTCTGAGTCCAGCCACAGAATTCACCCTTAGACTGCTCCCAGATCGCCTGTTCCATTCATATTTCTAGCCTGTACTTCTAATTGGCAAACCAGGAGAGTAATGCAGGTGGTAAGGTGCTAACTCATCTGGTTTCCCTCCACTCAGGAGAAGGCCACTTGGTTTCCACTTTCTAGCCCTCAGCCTTCTCCCACTGATTCGCTTTTTATGTTGGCAATACATGTAACATAGTGACATTATTTATGTTAGATATTCACAAGGTATCAGTACGGTCTTTCTACTTTGTATCTTTTATGGAGCACTTTTTTTCTTTTTTCAAAATTGCAAACATTTTATAGAGAACAGAAGAATGGTTATAAACAAAGTTGCACATGTATTTCCTCAAATCATGGATTTTCCATTTGACTCTCTTTTGTTTCTTTCTCTTAGCTCTACTCAGAGCACTTCATGGTCCTCCTCAGCCCATCCTACAGCAACAGCCTCTTCTTTTAAGGCTTTTACCTTTCAAATTTGTTACTTCCTGTGCTGGTGGACTGGTCTCTCTAATGCACTTTTTTTTGCCTTGCCTCTCTTCTGCACCAAAGCCAGGGTAGTCAGTGTTAGACATATGTTCTTTTGCCTGGCACCTAAGGCCCTCTGTAATCAAACCCTTACCTGCCTGTCCCACTTCATTTCCTCTCTGCTTTAACCTGTGCCCTTGACTCTGGCAAGCCAGGCTCCCATTGCTCCTTGTATTTGCCCAGGCTAAAATTGAGAGTGATATTCTAGACCAAAGGCTGAAAACAAATGACTTATAGATAAAAATAATAGTATATGATAAGAGTTTATGATAAAAGGGATTTAATCATTATAAACCCTTATTATCAAGTAAAATAATAAAATTATTCTCTAAGTTCTCTGGTAGTCATTATATACATTCATTACCCAAAAGTCCTCAAAATACTAGAATCACTCTTTGAACTAGAAGAAATCTTAAAGAACCAACTAACTTCCCCCACCCCCTGTTATAGGGAGGGACCCTTGGGCTCAGGCAGAAGTTGTACCAAGGTCAGGTAATGGCAGAGCCAGGCCTAGAACCCACTGATGTTCTATGCTGTCCTGCCAACTATGGAGCATTTCTCCAAGACCAGTTTTCTGTGAGGTTTCTGCCATCTGTCCATTTCCCTCATAGTTACATCTTATATGAGAGCAAGTTGTACTCAAGATGTTTACTCATAGGTCATAGATGCTAAGTTGACAGATGCCATTGTTAGTCTTTTAACTCTGCCAATGCCTTGTTCCCTTACTACAGTATTATAGTCACTACTGTCCAGTACCTGTCTTCTGCACTGCACAAGAATTTTACAGAGACAGACTTCGACTTTAAGGTAGGAGCTCCTGAGATCCATTGCTATATTTGTAATAACAGTAGAAAGCCTAAAAACAAGCTCACTGTTTTTGTTCCTGTTTTTGTTTTACTTAAAATTAACAACCATTTTATTTTACTCACAATTTTTCAGGTCAGGGATTTGAGATGGACTTAGCTAGGTGTCAGATGTGTGGCTGGGAGCTGGGGCAGGCTCACTGGGCTTTTGCTTTATTAATATGCTCATAGTATTGAACCACTTCCAAGTTTGATAATGACTAGGATATGACCCAAGAGTCTCCCTTTTGGAGGTACTGGGAACCAGACATCCAGGAGTAGGCTTTCTAGGCCAGAAACAACACTATTGGTTTTAAGAGGAGTCAAGAAAAAAAAAAGTTGTTTGCAAAGACATTTATAAAGGAAAAAAACCAAAATCTTAAAATTGTAAAATGAATTCTGTGCTACATCCATATATTTAGAATCTCTCCTTGCAAGGTTAAGGACTTGGGCTGTCACAAGTTTTCTCTTTCTCTGTCTCTCTAGGTGTGGAATTCTTATTTTAGCCTGGCAGTTCTGTTCATAAATCAGCCAAGCCTTCAGCTAGAAATCATCACTTCAGCCAAGAGGAAGAAGATTATAGATAAGTAAGACATATGTTTCTTATTCACCTCCCTACCACACATCCAGATAGGGTTATGTTTCCATGAGTGGTTCCTCAGAAGTCCACAAGGTTCTCACTGGGTAGCTTTCCAAAGAGCCAAATGTGAGAGTTCAGTTGACAGCCAAATGACGTAGTGCTGGGGGAAGCATTAGAGACAGTGCTGAAGTGCTAGCCTTATTGGGTTTATAGCCCCACCTTCCTGAACTTTCTCCCACTGAAAGCTGGATCCTGTGTTATTATTTCCAGGTATGGGGACATGCGTGTGATGATGGCTTATGAACTGTTCAGCATGTGGCAGAATTTGGGTAGGTCTTTTCTCCCTATTTTTCTCTTCCACATATTGCATAGCCAAATAAAAAGTGATAAGACTAGTAACTTCCCCCAGGTTTTATGGATGTTAATTCAGACCAAAGTGACCTTTACATATCTTTAACGTAACACCTCAGGTGGAAGTTGCCACTCATGTACACGGAGCCTTTTAGAGGGAGAGTTAGGCTGAGAAGCAAGACCCCAGTAACACACATGCACGTTCCCTTTTTTGAGAACTAAAGTCCAAAGGAAAAGAGTATGAAGGCTCTAGGAGTTTTTTCCAGCTTAAGAACTGATGCCAGTAAGATCTTCTGTACTCTTCATGTCCCAGTCCAAAAGTGGCAGACTCAGAAACATAGATCTTTTTTTTAATTAAGTTTTTAATTTTAATCCCAATATAGTTAACATACAGTGTTATATTAGTTACAGGTGTACAATATACTGATTCAGCATTTCTGTACATTACTCAGTGTTCATCATGGTAAGTGCACAGAAGTATAGATCTTGGAAATACTCAGCACATGAGCAAGGGCAGCTGTTCATTTCCATAAATATTGAAACATCTTTTGGGTCTCTGGTATTCAGGCCATGCAGATCAGGTTTCTGCCACCAGTTGCACGAAGATTGCATGCAAGAAGGGAATTGCAGCCCCTAGGTGAGATTGATTTTAGCTCCCTTTCCTTCAGCAGCTTCTCTAATACCCAGTGCTTTGGATCTGAAATTGTCAGATTGTTTGGTGGAATCCTTGTATTGCCCTGGTGACTAGGAGAGCCATCCTTTGGTATTATAGGCTTCTGAGTGGCCTCTCAGGATACTAGAGAAGCTGTTACCCTGAAAAGCCATTACCCTTCCTAGCTCTTACTGTTTTCAACTGAGTTAATGCCTCTGAAGCCTTAGGAATGGTGGTCATAAAATCTTCCAGTCCTCCATTAACCATCTCAGTCACTAACCCTGAAGCAGCAAACAAGGTGGGAGGCATTCCTGCCAGTGAAGATTAGGGCTTCCTTCTGTGAGTGGGGATACATTTCACCAAGCAGGCTTTCCAGTTCAGTACTCTTACACCCTGCATCCAGCATAGTCTGGGTATAGGTCTTAACCCTGAAGTTGACTCTGAAATTCCCAGGAACACAAGGTACTAATAAACTGTACCAAATACCAAGATTGGGATATGTAGAATCAGCCTCAGGGCTAATATTGGCCCCTTAGATAGGCTTTCACAATAGAAGAAACCAAAAAAGATGCCAAATTTGCCTGATAAAGCTATTCTTGCCTCTATCTTGTGTGTGTGTGTGTGTGTGCGTGTGTGTGTGTGTGTGTGTGTGTGTGTGTGTGTGTGTGTGTGTGTG